GAGGGAAAGAAAAAAATGTTTCAGACCTTACAATTTACAAAGCTGCTGCACTTTTTACTAATAATTTTACTAATAATTACAGCATTCTGTAATTATCACTCAAAGTTTTTGCTACAATTTCAGCCTTTGTCTGCAAATAGCTAAATATGTATGATTCTCTGTAACTTCATTTTTTGTGAGTATTATTATGAAATTATCGGTGTCTTTCATTAATCTTTAAGGTAGTATTTAATTATTGTTTTATCTCTATCAATATAACAAAAAAATAAATATTCCATTTTCTCTAATAAGAACAAAATTAAAAATCAATTTCTTGAAAAGTAATTTTAAAAGCAATGAAATTATCATTTTGAATTATATAAAAAAATCATTTCATGTTTTCGAGCACACAATAGTCAGGGGTTGTTTGTTCAGTAAATTCAACTCAGTTTCCAATGCAGCTCAAATTTTGTTTGTCCTGGCTTTACTATCTCCATCTTCATTGTAGCGCAATGAGAAAATATATGAAGACCTGATGTTTCTTACAGCCGTTCGTATTTCTGAGCAGTGATGTTCCCTTCTCGTCTGGTCTAACATCTCGTTTGAACACGAGATGGGTTAGTTGCCCTCCAAGAACCAGCCTCAGTTCAAACTCCTGAGCGCCCTGGTGCTGACTACCAGGCACCCCTCTGTGGGGTCTTGTTCCATGGGGGATGCTCTGCCATAGCCTCCTTTCTCCCCCGTCACCACAGCCCGAGCCACAAAATGGGGCAGTGGGGCTCTAACTATGCTGCCAGACCACCGCACAGCGAAATGTCTCAAGTGCTCTGCAAATATCTGTAAACTCTTGCTTTAGAGGTGGTAATATAACATGAGAAATTAAGATCGAGTATTTCATAAATGGGTAAACTAAGGACATGAAGGCTAAGTCACTTTCCAAGGGCCATGCATATGCAGAGCCAGAAATAACAATGAAATAAATTATGCTTAATAAAGTCTATGAAATAGAATCGCATCAAGTAGATGTTACTTCTCCCACTACTCAGTAGTCTTTAACAAATCCTTAATTGGCATAAATTATAGTGACCTTCCTAAGACCATTGAAGCTTTCCCAGTTTCCAGAAAGAGAAAACCTGCCTGTTCATTTTCTGATTCCCCTTTCCTCTCCTTGCCAAAGGAAACTAACCACAAAACTTTTTCATGCGTGGGATCCCTGAGGATACGGTATTAAGCTTGGCTGGTACTGAAATTCAGAGCAGGGCAACCGCCTGCTTTACAAGATTTCAGGCAAAAACTGTTGATTTTAACAAACATACCTGGGTGGGCTTTTTTACTTCAGTCTGCTGTTGAGATAGGAAAATGCAGGTAGCCCAGCCTCCCTTTCTACACGTGCCTCATGCAATTGGTAAGGTCTCAGAGATGCCAACAACACATGAAATGGTGTAGCCGTCCCCTCTTTTTGCTCACCTTTGTCATGTGCAGCGTGTGAAGTATCTAATGGGTACGCAGCGACTCAAAGAGCCCTTAGTAGCCACTGAGCTGTTCAATCAGTTTGGCTCTGGCGATATTGAGCCAGAGGCGGATCAGATGTACAAAGAGCCTGCAAGCAGAGTTACATGACAATAAACTTGGTATGAGAGGAGACTGAGCAAAACAAAACAGATGATAAAGGCATGATTTGCATGTGGTTAGCGATGCCTCTGTAACATCACAGGCTATCTCTAAGCTATATTTTCCACTGCATTGCTGGCTTGCAAAACTTTTAATGGAACAAGTTTTTCTGGCAGAGGAACACTGATTTTTATCTTTAATGAGCAGCCTCTCTATCATTTAGCTTCAGGAAACAGCTTCCTGGTTGTAAACTGCTTGGGAGTGCTGACAGCCAGTCGACTTCAAAACAGCCAGGAGAAACTTTCTTGCTAACTTTGGGAAGGAATTCAAAAATGCTGAAAGGTGCAGATGATGTTGTTATGGAGCAGGAGGACTCCGCTTCCCGCCATGGAGAAATAACAAGTTGGGATATCAATGACATCAAACTTCCTCAGGTATGTGTCTGTGTCTTAGGAATTTATCCAGTTCTGACCAGTCTTCTCCACTTCACCGCTGATCTTAAATGCTCTCTCAGTCATCTATGCCTCATTGCCTTTATTCTCTTTGCCACTTTGACTTATGGGACAGAGTTCTGCTGAAAAGCTAGAAAATATTGAGCAAAATATTGAAGTTTCCACGCATTTTTCCTCAAACATATTATTGAAAGAGCTGCTGATACATGAAAAATAGTGATACTGCAGATGCGCTGCCTTTCTAGTTCACTGGTGGATAAGGTGCAGAGAAAGCAGGGGACAAAATTATCTCCTGCTGTGGCTGCTCAATTAGAGATGTCCAGGACTTGCTTTTTGCCCTGGGTTGTGCCTTATGAGAAGTGAGCACAACACCCACCACTGCCTTGCAACTCCAGATGCTCAGCCTCGCTGCAGACCGGGCTCCAGGCAAGCGGGCTGGCTTTCCGCACAGAGGCAACACTCCTTTCGTGAGCACCTAGGAAGAGCTTGTTTCATGTGGGCAGAGATTTGCTGAGAGGCAGAATAGTGATCTTTCCCTCCCTCAGTCCTTTTCTAGTCCTCTTATCTAAAAATCCCATCCATGCTCTCCACTGGAAGCCCACAGCACCCCGCACCCCAGTGTCGTCTCCCTGTCCCTCACCTTACCCTATTTGTGCCAGATTCCTCCTGCTGGGGTCCTTCACCGTCCAGCTCTGCCTTCCACCTCCCAACCCTGTCTTCTTATCTGATCCCAGTCTCTTCCCTACTATGTCACTGCTGTTCGCCCAAAGCCTCCATGTCCCAGGCTGCCTCCTTCCCTGCCCTCCACCCCAAGGTCACCTTCACCTGCATTTCAGCCTGGAGGCTTCCTCCACACCCTTCCCTCTCCTGTCTGATGGCTCCTGGGGGAGCACAGGAGTTTTTCTCTTCTCAGTTGATGTTCTGGCTGCTGTAATGGCTCTCGGTGGTTGGGATCAGCAATTTCAAGGAAATTCCTACTAAGTTTTTGTACCCCTACAATGACCTTTTCCCTCAAAACCACCAGAGGGTATGTTAGGTGCTTTACAGCTTAATGCATTTTACTGTGCTAACTGTACCCACTGAGGTGATGTGTGGTTGGTCCTTTGTCTTTTCTTTCATTGAGTTTTATTTTTCTTGTTCCTTACAGTGTTGCCTTTGGGGCTTTTTTTGCTTAGTCCATAGCAGCGAAAAAAAAAACCCAAAACTGACCAAGATGTTATTTGTTTTGGACTTCAGAAAAATCACCATGGAAGTCTTTCATGGCACTTAGGCCAAAATGAACCAAAGTCCAGATCTAAAGACCTACAAATGGGGCCATAGTCTCAGTCTGATTTGGTATTTGCCCTTTTTCCAGTGAATTGAGCCAAAATAAGCCAAATGATTCAGTGTAACGCTGCCGTGAACAGCCTGAAAGGCAAAGCAGGATCTCTGCCATGAAAGCTAACAGAAGTTAGTCAGGCGGTGACTGCTGCCTGCGAGGAAATTATCTGCTATTTTATGTCAGGCGCCCCACCTTCTTCTCCCAGGGAGGTCCTGCAGAGAGCTGGACCCATGGGTGAGTGAGAACAACCTCCTGGCCAGGCTTTCCTCATGCTTTGGGGCTTGCTGGAAACCATGGGGAGCTGTGGTTTTTCTGCCTTCTCTCCACTGCTCCCTCCTGCCAACCAGCATCACCTGCTGTGGTGCTGGAGTCACCCAGGCTAGAGGACATCCAGCAGATGACCAGGTCTGCTGGGCTCTTGCATAAGCTCTACTCTTCCCCAGCCTAAAGCGTGGTTTGTTTTGGTCTCTCCTCAGGACGTAAGACAGATAGACTGGTTTCAAGAATGGCCAGATTCCTACGTAAAACATATCTATAGCTCAGAGGATAAAAATGCTCAGAGGCACCACAGCAGCTGGGCAATGAGAAACACCAACAACCACAACTCTCGCATCTTAAAAAAGTCCTGCCTCGGGGTGGTGGTCTGCGGCAACGACTGCTCAACCTTGGATGGGAGGAAGATCTACCTAAGACCAGCCATATGTGATAAAGCTAGGCAAAAACAACAGCGTGAGTATGAACATGGCTGTTCATTTTATGGCCATTCATAAGTGAACACAGCATAAGAGAAATCAAAGTAGAGGATGACCTTTGGATTATCCAACCTTCCCGCTGCCATTCCTTATATTCAAATGGAACTCTTGATTTTGGAACAATGCATTTTACATTTCTTACTGTTGGGGGAGGAGTTGTTTGCTTGTTTGTTTTCTTTTTTTTTTTTTTTCCTTTTTAATCTCTATTTCTGATGGTTAGAGATTCTTTCCCAGCCTTCTCAGGCCCATGAATGAGGCTACTGCGAAAGCTGTGCACTGCAGGCAGCTTCCTGCTGTGCTGCTCCTGCTGACCTGAGTGTTGGCTTCATTATTGCACGGGTCCAAGAGTAACTCAGAAGGCAAGCCTTGCAGGGAAGAAGTTGCTCATACACTATGATGACTGGAAAATAGGCCTCATAGTCATGTCACCAGAGCAAAACAGTGCAAATAGAGAACATGAGCTGCACGCACATTTTTAACAAAACCATTCCAAACAATTGTTGCTTGCTCAGTAGAGCTAGCACATACTGATTTCTGGATCTGATGAACATTTTGGCTGAAGAAAGGTATTAGTCAAGCACTCACTGAGGTCAGAATGATGTCCTCTAGAAAAATGAGACAAGAACACATATGACATTCCATACACTGCTAAGCTGACAACAACTAAAACTGACCATAATAATAAATGATAAAATGATAATAAATCTATAGTAGAAATACTTTTGCCTGTTACATTTAATAATGGAACAGAATAAAGGCAATGATTAGTTTGCTTATATTGATTTTTGCTTACATATGAAAGTTTTTTGCATAGTTTTCGTCAGTGTAGTTTCGGAGCCGCAAACCAGAAGTGGCACTCCACCACCAATGAACCATTGTATCTCACGGGATTCATCTGATCGGTGTTGTATAGAAAATATTTCCCACTGTCTTTGCTCCAGGGAAATGCTGTCCAAACTGCAATGGACCCCTGCGGCTCCTTTCCTGCCGAGGCCATGGTGGTTACCCAGTTACCAACTTCTGGAGGCATGAAGGCCAATTCATATTTTTTCAGGTTGGTATAAAATTACCTTACATTATGCAAGTTAATTTTAAAGACTGTTTTTCAGGATTGATTAAGGACACTTTTTGTTCCAACAAATAAGGGTCATTGAATATGAGAAGGTCAAATGACTGTAAGGAGAAAAATTTTCACAATGAGTGGACAAGGTCCTAAGCAACCTGATCTGACTCTGCAGTTAGTCCTGCCCGAGCTAGACCTCCAGAGGTCCCTTCCAGCCTACATTAGCCTATGCTACTATGATTTTACAGCATATTATATTTTTCTTTTAGGCCTCCATGAAAACCTGTTGATTTTGAAGCACTTTGCCTCAGCTACCTAGGAATCAATGAATCCCCAAAAAGTCAGAAATGCCATGTTATCTCAACCTCTTCTCCAAGGGCCCATGCATAAGCATGAGGCTATCTTAGAGCAGGAAATGGCTGTACCAAGGGACTGTCTATGAAAAATGCCATCTGTGCTTTATATGTAACTTGTATCCGGAAAACAGTGTAGGCAAATGTTTAAATAATGGGCACTATTTCTGGAAGCTGTAGTCCTAGTTTAGTACCATAACCACTGAACTGGCTCCTGTTTTCCAGTCTTTCACTTATGTGCAGGTTAAATAAAATTAATTCTCTGTGGAAGCTAATGGAAATTAATGTTCTGATAAACATATCTAAAGTGTGAGAAGAATGCAAATGACTGCAGGGACACTAGCCAGGCTGCAGAAGACCTTGTGGCTTCAACTGGGGCTCTGGTGTGGGGAGTCTCTTCTGCACATAAGTGTGGTGCACTGGTTTTATGATTTCAGAGAATTTCTAGCCCATCGCACATCATCTGACATATGTTTGTTACTTGAGCTTATTAAATACAAAGCATCAAATCAGGCCATATGTGTGTTTTTGGCCTGTGCTACAAATTCTGCTCCCTTAAGATTAATAACGGTTGTTTCCAACTTTAACATATCATAATTCCTTTCTAAAGTCCAAAGGAGCTCATGACCATCCACGTCCAGAAACAAAACTAGAAGCAGAAGCAAGAAGATCAATCCAAAAAGCACAGACAGCTTTTTCTCCATCTTCTCCAAGATCAAAAAGAACACGGGAGATTGAGGTAACTCTTACTATCGATCAAGAAAATTGTGGGGTCAGTGATCCACGGTTCAAGGCACGGTGGAGGCTATCTGGGCTTTGGGTCTGGGTGGGAGCAGGCTTTACATCTCCACATTCTGCCTCCCTGCGATCAGGCCAAGAAGGAGCAGGGCTGTCCTGAGCATCCTGCTCTGTTCGGCACTGTCATCCCCTGCCAGCACCCCCTGTGTGGAGCCTCTTTGGCCTGGTGGCAGCAGGGGATTACATCTATACTGGTAAACGAAGCAGGGCTGGAGGGCAGGCTCAGTTGCCTCACTATTCGCATGGTCCCTGCCATGGATTTGGCCAGTGCTAACTCGTGCTCACAGACAAAATGCCCTGGCACGACTCAGGAGGACAGCATGTGCCAGGGGCCATTCCTTGGAAGGATTTTGGACAAGGTTGCATCAGGTTTGGGTCCCTTCACTATACACAGCTGGCTTTGAACCTACCTGTGCCCCAACATGCCATCATGATACAAGCAACAGGCAATAAGAATCTCAAACTGATGCTGTGAAAAATAGCCCTTAATGGGCTGCAACACAGCCCTTGCATCATTTCACTTCAGGTCCAGAGGTTGCCCAAGGTCAGGATGTAATGTGGACACTGCCACGCCATGCCTTTTGGTCCCTGTTACCAACAACAGTCCTTGGCCTCATTTTATTTAGCAGCATGGACATAGCTTCAGAGCAGCAGCTCTTTCCC